TTTTCAGCCCAGTGATTGAGAGATTTGAAAAAAACGACGAGGTAGGTGGTGGAATATTTACCAGCATTGATAAGATGAGGATGGGCATGGCCCGTATCGCGGAAACGTCGTAAGCACTGCATAAATCGAACCGTAGCCGGAAAGATAGACACTAAAACGCGGATTCCGGATGAACTAGTACACATATCACGACCCGTACTGATATCAACATAACCCCAAGGAATTGATTCACTAGTCGTCATATTCACCGTTCGAGCCGAAAATGACCAGTCACTGTAGTCAACTTCTGTGGTGTAAAAACATATAAAATATTGAAAATCAAGAAAGCTTGTTACTAGCGAATTCATTTGATCACCAAGCCAGAAATCGATGAATGTAACAAAATGTAACGGAGCGGTGAAACAATTGAAGCAATGTTTTAGAATCCAAAAACGACTATTTCTTTGAAAAATGCTATTCGGTTTCTTCAATGGATTAAATATATAGATGACACAAATAATCATTAAGAGTAAAGGAAAAAGAAAAGGTGGTAAATGAATAAGATGGCAGTACAGATATCCCAATACACCAAGAGACCATAGCATACACATAAATGAGGCAATTTGCATTACCGATTGATAAGTTAAATGATTTCGTGGATCTACTTCAAAGATAAGTACATGATTGACACCAGCTTCTGCCCATCCCCACATATTTAAACCACAAAGCCAAATTGCAACAAAAAGCAATAATGGACCACGAAAAAGTCTAACAGCAACCCATTTTGGTTCAGCAGGTCGTGATTCAGATGCAAACCAGGAAATAATTATTGCTATTCCAAGTACAACAAATGCTCCAAGAAAGAGGCCTAATGTAAATGTAGTAGTAGCATGTTGCTTCTCACTTAATGGTGGTACTTTAAGTCGTTTCATTCCAGCTTGTCGATTGCCACCCTCTAAATCATTAATTACATCTCGTTCCACATTACTGATTAGCGTCTCTACTTCACGGTTCAGAAAAAAAGATGACTTCTCCACTCGACTAATGCGCCAATCTAAACCTCGTTCATTTCCAATCAATTTGTCATGCTTCTTCAAAATCTTCCGAAATCCTGTTGCATTCAGTTGCTGATAATTTTGTAACAGAACTAATGCCAGATAAAATTCGGAGAAGGCAAGTTTCAATTGTTGTGCTGTTTTTGCATGCTCTCTGGTGATATTTCGTGCAGAAACGCTATGCCGTTTGAACCGTTGTCGTAAAGTAGTAGAATCTGTGACGGATTGTGTTTCTCGATTTTCCAAAGCCTCCTTGAAAGCTAGTAATTCGGCATTTAATTCATGGAATTTTCCTTGAGCTTCAGCTATTTTCTGACTGTAGAATAGGTTAATTTTAGTCAGTTCTCGTTCACATTCCGCAAAAAACTTCTCATCCATTTGAGAGATATATTGTTCGCGATCTTCCGTTTCCGTCGGCAATGCTGTGATCATTTCATATAACATTGATTTCAGCGCCTCATAACGAATATATTGCTTTCGCCATTCCGGAGTTAAATGACTGGACAACTGTTCGCCAAATTTCATCACTGAAACACAAAGAAAGTGACAATACAAGAAAGTGCTTCGACAAATTCGTATTTTGATGTCAATACTAGCAATCCAATAAATTAGGCTCTTTAGAATCATTCTTTTCAGTTTGTTCAGTTTTTGGAGAAGTCGTAAATTTTCAATGTCTCTATAATGAGCATCCGTAACAAAATACTCTTCCCCAATTTTGTATATAAACTGAAAATACTATTTTGTATTTTGGAATGCACTAAAATCAAAGCAGTATAATTCACGACTATAAAATAATTCATTCTAACTGTATATTCAAATAATAAAAGCAGATGAATATTGCAATACAGTAGAAGCACCTTCTAACACTGAAGATCTGGCCTACGATTCACCTGGACAACAATTATAATAGTAGAGCATTAATGGATTACATAAAATTTAGCAATTATAAATGCTACCCATAGAATCTAAACACCAATCATTTTTAAAAAATTAAAAATAATCGAAAATCTTCATAAAATATCATTCTTTTTTCGCTGTGCCATTCTATTTTTCATCAGTTCTTTTCAATCATTTCCTTAAAAAAATCTCACAACAAAGGTAGTTCGTAATGCATATGTTTTCTAACATTTTCAATAATAGGTTAATGAAGCATAAAAAAGGATAACATATCAAATCCTGTATGTGAAGCATATGGAAAGAGACATATTGTCCATCAAAAAAATCACACGGAGCATAACATATATCATTTGATAAAGCAAGAAAAGAGATTTAAGATTCCCAGGAATAAAAAAAAAAAAAGAAACATGAAAATTGATATAAAAGTGATAAATATATGACTAAGATTACAAGTGTAAGAAGTATAAATTATTTCTCTGACAATCAATCAAACTTGTCTCACCTTTTAGAATAACATCACATTCCTAGAATAATTATAATGAATCCATTCTTTCTTGGATCCTTTACTCGTTTCATCTACAGTCTTTTAAATAAAAAACTTCAGCTGGAAGAAGTTCCAAAATTTATTTTGTCTTAGAAATTCAGTAAACCCTCATAATTGTAGTTTATTTCTTGAAGAATTGATCTAGTAACATTGAAGCATCAAAATTTGTCATGTCATAACAACAAGCCTATTTCCTAAATAATTCAAATGATCCTATCGTCAGCAAACATGTCAACAGATGGTGAGTTAGGAATAAATGTTAGAAAGTAATGCAAGCTCGTTTTTAATTGCAAGCATAAGCATATCCCAGCTATGATTTAGTATTTTCTAAATTTGAAAACTTCACAATGAAAATGTCGAATGATGTAGGCAAAGCATAGACAAGCTTTGCTTTATACATTATTTAGATATTGAAAGAGTGATGTACATATGTGCACAACAAATAAGCCATACACAAAACGTTTAATTCGTTCGTTTATTCATCGCAAACTTATAGTGAAAAAAGCTTTAGTACTTTTTTTTTTTCAGCGAATTGTATCAGCGAAACAATCAGCAAATATAGCAAGAAAACGACCATCTAGAAAAAAAAGAGGTGATCGATGCAAAATGAATTATAGCCAGTCCAGTAATACTAAAATCTTGATTATTTAGGGACAAAAATCGAGTGTAAGAAAGAAAAAGTATTATAAAAATATACTCAATTCAAAGATTGATCTTTTTCATTATATAGATCATGAATGACATATATTGTATAGATTTCATTATATAGATCACGAATGACATATAAATACTTTACAATTTGACTTGAATAATAAAATTTTCGTGCAGTACCATTATGTTAAAAAAAAAAAAACTAGTACCCTAGAACTATTTTAATAGTGTATTTTAATGCCAAAACCAATCCACGATGAATTCAATTTGTTATTTCTTTTGCAAAAGTAGTAAAAACATGTAGATAAGAAAAAAAAGACCTATTACAGTATCGAAAAATATGTAACTATGTAATAATCGAAGAGAGGAAAAAAATTTTTTTTCAATATACTAATTATCAAAGACACTTAGCTGCTAACTTATATCACCAAATTATAAAAAAATAAAATCAAAACCTGTATTACCTTTACAATCCATTTTGAAGTTATCTCCTCAAATAAAATTATGTTTCAACTCTCAAAATAATTCATTTGAAAACAAATTTCCAAAAAACAAAACATCAGATATCAGAAACGAGCCTGTTTGGATGATAAAATTTGGGACCGTTAGCAACTAAATATTTAAGCTCAAAAAAAAAGACATAATAGTAAAATAAGAAACAAAAATAAAACCGAAAGTGAAGTAAGACTAGAATTTATCCTCCAATGAATGGAAAAGTGAATCTTGATAGAACAAATTGCATAAGGGTATAATAATTTATCTTAAGTATAATTTTGTAGGTGGTAAAATAAATGAAGCATTATGAATGCTTCATTTATGTTTGCTTGAAACTTTAAATACTAAGTTTAAAAGCTCAAATTTACAAATTTACATCATTACAGTGCTTGCTTTGACACTTTCTTAGAGAATGTTGGGTTAATAACATCAACTTTCTCACTATAAAACGGCACAATACTCCAAAATGTAATATAACATTCGTCAGGACACAGAAATTTCCCTCACTGAATATGTGCAGGTAATTCTGGGCAGTAAGTCATACCACCACAGGTATAAAAATATTCGCACTATTTAGAAATGCCACTTCACAGCGAATCAAGATTTAAATTGAAGTGGTTTAGCATTTTAAAATACAAACTCAAAAAGATTCATATTACTTATAAGCTATTAAAAATAAAATCTTATGCGGTATATGTTGCAAAAAGTAAACATTTACATCATGTGCAACATGCGGAAACATGAAAAATGTATGGTGTCGAAACAACTAAACTAAAATTTAGTGAATTATAAAAATTTCTTACCAGTTAATCAATCATTTAATAATTATATTCGTAAAGATCTGATATTATAAATATATTGACACTCACCCGTTAAAAAATAATAATAGCTCAGACTAACTATACTGCATTGCATATATGCTATGATAGATACTACTATTATATATTTTAAAATAGAAGTCGAAAAAGTCTAAGAACTATGAATGCTTATTCGGGAATCACACTTCTCCGGAATGTTTTTTTCAATGAAGCTTATTAGATAATTTTTTTTTTTATAATGAACCTTGTTAGCTAATGAAGATAATAAAGCTCACAGCATTAGTTTAATTGTACGATGAAACGACCTATTTTAAATTAAATAAAATCAGTATTAAGAGCAATTTTAAGAACAAGATAAAAAAAAAGAAAGGAAAAGGATAAGATTTTTAACGGACACAATTGATTTACACGAAAAGCATAATCTACGACTATTCAGTTAATATATATTGGTGTAAATCAAGAAGAGATAGTAAATGAGCATACGATCTAATTCTGAAGCGAATAAATTTGCATATTTCAGCATTTGTATGAATATGAAATTGACATTCTATCAATAAGAAATCAAATAATGTAGAGAAAAAACTTTTTCTTATTTAATTTCAGAAATAGAAGAAAAAAACAGCTCACAACACGTCCATCACCGCTACCCAAGTCGACAAGAGGTGAGACTTTAGCTGAACACGTTGACAACGCCATGGCAACATTTTGCAGTTGTTGTGGCGTAGCTGGAACATATGGTATGCAGATTTTACGCAATGCCGGGGTCACAAACGGCACACATACAACCGTTACAGCGACAGCACCTGTAGCCATCGTACCTGCAGCAATCATGCCAGCCAGTCCCATTTTTGGTTCCTGGAACAAAATCCATACTTTGATCTAGGGTAACTAAACCGGGGCTATGGACTCATATCGAGATATTCTAATTTTTTTGTAACCCATTCTATACAGTGAATGAAATTGACAACACTGACAGAAACCTAAATCGAGGTTTAGATAAGTCATCCAATATTATTTCATTAAACCTTGAAGATCAATGGAAATATACATTCAGAGAAATTTATAATCACATCTATCTCACAAATGTAATTTTCAAACTTAAATTTATTTTGCAAACATTTGAGAGATTCGAAAACAATAAGAAAAAAAAAAAGAAAAATAAATACGAGAACACAAAAAGACAGTTATCTAACGCCTTATATGATCATCCAAACTCGAAGAGCTAATAATAAATCAGGCAAAAATAAAATCAAATCTAATTCTCTGACAACTTATGAAAGAATTTATAATATAGCCATATATTATGCAGCATGCTATCTCACACCCTGCAAAAATCCCATTCAGCTTTATGTGATATTGATCGCACTAGACTTTTACAACAGTATTATTTCTTCATAACTTCCTCAACAAGCAGCAATTTTTCGTTACAACCACATATTTGTTTAATTAATTATAAATTATCTCTTCGACCAAAATTATCCTGAAGAATAGATTTACATGAAAGTAACATCACTACTATCATATAGGATCAATTCCTAACATGCAAGATAACTGAAACAATACTCCGTATTTATAAATATGCTTAATCGATATCTTTTACATTTTAAATATTTTACTATTCTACTTAATATTATCCGTTTTCTTCTTTTAACCTTATCACGTTCAATTATAATGATAAAAAAATTATATGATTAAATGATGATAGCTCAAATAAATCAACTGCTAAAACATCATGTTAAACAAGTGATGAGAGAAAATTAATTACCTCAACAAACTGCAATCAGTTACACTGTTACCAATGAAATACTTCAGAAGTGAATAGTCGTAAAGACAAAAGCATATAATACTGAGACTGCTATCTTTAACATTGTCCCATATTTTTCATACCGAATAAAATCTCTACGTTTCATAACTTCCTTCGTACTGTAAATCTTGCTCTTTTTAACTATCAACATTCAACATTTCAAATATTTCAAGTAAATTTCAAATTTTCGCATTATATCTTAGATAAACATAACAAAATCATTGCCTATAAGTGCTAATTCAAAGTAGGTATGAGAAATGTTGGAGGAAATTTTCCTTTATTACCTATGGAAAAGTAAGTATATGGTTTGTTGTGTCTATAAGCAAATGCAGTATTATATATGGGAAATAACGATGATAATCAATCCATTTCATTATTACTAATACAATCTATTCATTTCCTTTACATTTGTTAAAGATAATCAGACTAACAAAAATAATGTTTGATCGAACAAACTGACTTGATAAGATCGACAAACTGATTCGTGAATCATCTCTGTTGATTAAAGATCACATATTATTGATTTTAAAGCACAAACAAAATACTTTAACAGGAAAAACTTTCTCTTCTTCCTAACCCTTATATATATATATATATGCTTCAATTTAATCCTTATCTTAATTAGTTAACTCCTTCCAGTGGTAGTACGATATATAAGAATCACTCGAATTTTTATAATTCAATCGTAGAACAGAAAGTAACAATTTAATTTCAAAAACAAAATTAGATGGACATTGTATTTTCCCTAAAGTAGTTCAGGCCCTGTCGAAATAAAAAATCTCGCTTCAAGTTACTAAATGTCATTTACTTATCAATTTTAATCCAATACTAGTATTTTTCCTCATTTCATACTCTTGCAACACAATAGGTAAAATTCGATTGAGTAGTACACACATACGATTAAAAAGTAACTTAAATTTATTTAATTTCAACCATATTTCAATTATTTTTTTCAACCTTCCATTTTTTTCATTCTTGCTACACTATTGAAATTCTCTCAGTAATCTAATCAGCAGGAAAAATTTACAATATCCTTTAACTAAATAATATTCCTTTTTAGCCATTTGCCTTACCCATTTACTTACCCGCCACCAACTTTTACCCATTCATTCCTCCCATCACATCAACCAAACCAGTAAACAATTTTGTAGCATTTTAGCTGCAGCAGATGTTTGAGTCCTACGGTAATTTCGTTAGTGGCAATTTCTGTAGATTTTTTTTTGACAAAATAAGATTAGGCTTGTAGTGGGTCAGGTTTGTCCAGTTTTGTCCGGTATTTTTCTGATTTCTCTCATTCCGGATTTGTTTGAGTTGGTAAGATAGCAATTTCTGAATTTTTCTAATTGAGATATTTTTCCGGAATTCTTTTGCTTCTCATTTTAGGGACATTGTCATTGAAATTTATCTTTATGTCATCAAATCTCACTCAGCAATAATTGCTCTATTGAATGATTTTTTCGATTTCTGCCAATCACTGTGTTTTCCCATTTTATATAAGATGACTTCTTTGTGGTGAATTGTGTTTAAAATTCATAGATTTAGTGCGATATTTTGATGATTAGTAGTGGATGCTTGCTGATATTCAAAAGAAATGAAACGAAATAGAAGTACTGCTAAGGGCCGGATATCTCGTAATAATAAATTGGTTATTATATTACAAATTAAATGTATTTCTGCCTTATTTACTCTTTAATCTTGTTGATTCCTTATAAAATTTTTTTTTCGATTTCTTACTCTTGATTTGGTCTAACGTTCATCGATATTGATTCTGAAACCACTGAATTTCAGCGCTGAAAGCTCAATTTTAAGGAGGCTATACTTTGAAGTAGAGAAGTGAAGAAAGAGCAAAGTAACATGCCTCCAAATTTTTTCCAAAAACCGGAAACGGCACTTAAACGTGCTCATGAACTTATATCTGTTGGCAAAGAGATGGATGCATTGGAAACGCTCCACGATACCATAAAAGTAAGTTGCTTTTTCCGCATTATTTTATAGCATATCATCAAAATTGCTATATCTTTCTTAGCGTCCATAGTTCATGGTTGCAATCCAAACATAATCCGTGTTCATGACAAATTGATCAGATGGATGCATTTTGGAGTGCGATACAAATGAAGAAACTGGTTAATCAAAAATATGGTATTCTTGATTACCATATTTTCAAGCACCAGTTTACAAATATTATTTCATTTCTGTTAAATTTTGGCTGGACCAAATATTACGATGATTAAGAATGTTATTCTACCAAGGAACCAACTTTTAAACCCACAATATAAGTTTGTAGTGCCTTACTGCTTCCAGTAGTATTTACCGAGTTATAAAGAATAGTCCTATTTGTGATACCTGAAAGTAAAACTTATATTGTTTTGTTAAAATTTTTTTTTCTGGCTTTTTTTGTTCCAGCAGTCAAGAGTCAACTCTTTCTCCAAAAATGGAGGTAAATGATGCAGTACGCATCCACTCTAATAATTACTTTTTCTTCTAGTCAAAACGCCACAAGCAATGGACAAAGACGCATGAAGCAATTATGCTGAAGCATATGGAACTTTGTGTTTCATTACGACGCCCACATATGGCCAAGGATGCTCTTTTCCAGTACAAAACGCTTACTCAACAGGTCTTTTATGAAGTTTTTAGGAGTTTTATTTTCTTTCAGTGAAAATTTTAATGACCATTACTAGCATCTATTCAAGTCTTCCGAGAGATGAGCAAATATTTTTTTCCTATACTAAGGGATTTAAAAGAAGTTATGTTTGTTGGAAATTCTCCAGGTTGCCATTAAATCTCTTGAAACTGTTATACAACGGTTTCTGGAGCTTGCACAGCAGAAAACGGAAGAAGCGCAGAAGACTTCTATTGAGAAAGTTGAAGAAATTGATGATTTGGATCAAGCCGATGCCCCTGAAAAGTCTGTTTTCTTCAGTATTTGGTGTTAGAATGTTTGGGATTTGATTCTTGATTGCAAATAAACTATTTTAGCTTGTTACTGTCAGCTGTATCCGGTGACGCTGCACAAGATCGAATGGATCGAACTGTGTTGAGTCCTTGGCTGCGTTTTCTGTGGGATTCTTATCGAAATTGTCTTGATTTGTTAAGGAATACCGCTGTGGTTTGTACTAATTTATTCGTGCTAAAGAATTCCTTTTCCACTGATCTTGCATAAATGAGATGTAGAATTTGAGCATTAATAAGGTGTGAAAATAAATTAAGGGAATAGCTATAGTAAACAGATAAAAATAGGGTAGTAATAGTTGAACAAATTTTCAGGTTGAGCAGTTGTATCATCGTATTGCGAGGCAGTCATTTGAGTTCTGCGCGAAGTATCAGCGGCGAACAGAGTTTCGTAAATTATGTGATAATCTCCGATTACATTTAACGCAAATTCAGAAACACCAGCATTTGGCTCATGTGTAAGTTCTTGTTAGTATTATTACATCAAGAATTATCGTAACTTTTTTCTTTGTATTTGCAGTCACAACATTTTAATGGTTTTTGGTTGTAAACTTACAGCTTTTAATGCGGTGTAGATATCAGTGCGGTAATATTTTGTTTTAGGGTGAAACTAACAAGTGCAGAGTCATTGACTTTAATGCAAGATACGCGTTTAATACAGTTGGATACAGCAATACAAATGGAATTATGGCAAGAGGCATACAGAAGTGCGGAAGATGTTCATGGTATGATGCAATTAAGCAAAGATAAAGATGAACGCATGGTTAAACCAGCAAGTTATGTCAATTACTACGATAAGGTTCGTTATCACCTATTTAAAAGGTTTTCAGTAAAGTGCCTTTCATCTAATACTCATGTTATATGCATTCAGGGAACTTTTTATTTCAATTCGTTAAGGAATCTTTTATTCAGTTAATCAATAAGGTATTATAGTTCTATTTCCATTTTTGCATTTCATTGTACTGTATTTGATAACCAGTTTATTTATGGTCCAAACAAAGTACTGGCATTCATCTCATTTTTCATTAAAAAAGAACACCTTATTTGTTAAAACTCTTTTAAAAATCTTCTTCAATGTCAGTCTCTGTGA